AAAAAAAATATTTAGTGTTAAAATTATACTTAGTATTAGACAGATATCAAACCATTTACTCATCATAATCCTTAATTTAGTCGATTTATGTTCTAAAGTACCCTTAAAACAACTAAAAACATACTCAACTTTATAAAATAAATGATGTACGCGAAAACATTTCTTTAATTAAATAAAAGCTGCAGGTTATTGTTAAAAATCCAAACAAAGTTGAATCTTACTTCATTGTAATAAAGTCGTCTATCTACAATTGTGTTGTTGAAACACTACACTTCTGTACATTGTTTGAGCGAGACGCATGAACACGGTTAACAAATAAAACAACTTCGCGTGAAAGGTTACTATTCATCATTCGAAGTAACGCAACGAACTATCGTGCATTTTAATATACGATATTAAGTTGCATGTTAATCCGTTGCAATAAGTCCGTAAATACTAATATTATAAATGCGAATTTTGATTGATGGATGTTTGTTAGCGGGGACCTCTAAAACGACTTAAAACCGCTGCATTTTGGAATAGATAAAGATTACTGTCTGGAATAGTGTCTGGCTAATTAGGTTATTTCTATTTCAGCTATATAAAGTCGCGATCAAAATTTAATATAAAATGAAGTCTTAAAATTATAAAAAAAAATCTTATTTAACCCTCCTTCGCTGGTTCAGAATTCCTAGTAAAGAATTTAATCACGAACAGACGTATCTTCTACGTGAAGCTTACCGCGAGTTTATAATATCAAAACATCTTTATAAAACATATTACTATCTCTATTTTTTAGATCAGAGTGAGTGGAATGACAATATTTTTTAATACAAACATACGGGGCGGTACACCGCCCTCACACTCCACAGAAAGTTACTTTATTAATATAAAAAAATATACTATTATTGAAGGTAGTTAAAAATCCTAAAGACAACCAAAAAGTAAGATATTAGAGAAGCAGTATATTTGTGTATGAAATATAGATAATTATCTAATTAAGTTAACATTACGTGAATCCTTTAATTGGTTCCTTTGCTGCTTAAAAAATTCCATTTGTAATTACACAAGTATTTGAGTGCGCAGGTTTGTCAATGACCGCCCTTCTTTTCTATAGACCGCATCAGCTTGCTTTGTCCGTTAATACCGTTGACAAAAACAATCCAAAAAAATACAGTCTCTTGAAATCAATTCTTTATTTTAATTGACTAATATATAGTCTCGCTTTATAGTCTTTTGCTTTTATTATTTTGTTTCAGTTGTTTGAATCAAAATATCTTAACTTTATATCTAATGAAATAAGAATTAAAGCAAAACTTAAGATTTATATTACCTGAAACTTAACTATTATTTATCTTTTGTTTAAATTTTATTAGAAATTATCGGATAACTAAAAACTTGTAAAGAAAAGTTTCGAACGAACAAAAATAATTATTGTTATTTACCCGAGAATCTTTAGCAACACAAATTTTTTGCCAACTGTACTGTCTGTGGATGACGTCATCGGGTTATTGAAAGCTCGCACGAAGGGAACTTGCGCCCGGTTGCATTTTTTACGTCGAACACGCGCCGAGTTTAAAATGTGCAATAACTAACTGTAAAACTACTTCGCTGCGATGTAAGATGCAAAGTACTAGATAAATAATTATTTGTAACTCGTACACGAATACGGCAGCTGCTGTATAGATTATTATAGTATTCCTTAGCGGATGAAAGGAGATTGCATGTGGCAGAGATGCGTATGTTAAGATGGATGTGTGGTGTGACAAGAATGGATAAAGTTAAGATAATGTATATTAGAGGAAGTTTGAAAGTAGCGCCAGTAGTGGAGAAATTGAAAAGCAAAAGGTTAGCGTGGTATGAACATGTTATGCTATGTGTTAAGAATGAATGTGGATGGCTACAAAGGAAGAGGAAGACCGAAGAAAGTATGGATGGATTGTGTGAAAGTGGATATGCTTAAGGAGTGGTTTCAGATATGATTGCTGATAGAGATGTATGGAAGAACAGCACATACTGTGCCAACCCTCCATAAGGGATAAGGGCAAGTGGATGATGAAGTAGTATCAGGTTGAATTTAAGGGTAATGGGAATGTTATAGAAAGAGGTAGAAGGGCGTCGAATAGCTTACCTAGTGTTAAGTTTTAAGGTTGTGAAAAGGGGAGGGACTTATGTCACAAAGTACGGCAGCGGAGGGTACTGTTAGAAGGGCAAACGTCTTTTTTTAAATCTCATCCTTTAGTAAAAGGTAGGCAACACGTCTGCAACCCTTTATGTAAGTAATCTATGGACAGCGGTTATTTTGCTAATATAGCGAAATACTCCGAAATCCGGAAAAGAAGAATTGAGATAAATGCTTCATCAAAGTACCTTTCTAATTTTACCTTATGAATATTGGGGAAGAAACCATATAAAGGCACCCCATTACCTCTATCTTACCTTCAATAAGCAATCAGGTAAATTGCCATGTTTTTGACTTGGAATAATTCTCAATTAGGTACTTACATTGAGTAGAATATCAGAGTTTTCACGATACAATCATAATTGAATTAGACCTCATGGATATTTCAAAAACATCGAGGAGAGAATCAGGCTTTTGGCAAATACATATTATTAATCATATTGTTAATCTTACGGCAGAATATTGAAACGACATTCTCTCAAGAAGCTCTCGCTAGACAGTTAGATTCAGGGCCCGAGTCAAAAGGCGGTTATTTTAGAAACCGCACATATTGTGAGGAGGTTTCTGTCTCTGCAGCCCTGACTATTGGTTGCTTGAGTCATCGGATTCCGCAGTCGGTGGTGTTCTATTATTTTATATAATATGTTTTATTATTTTTTTATAACAAATCATGTAAAGTACATTATATATAAAAATAAGAAATAAAGATATATGTATAGATAATAATACACACGAAGAGACTCCCTCAGTCGTATTAATATTCTGAAAGCGACGTTAAATCACAGGGTTCATTCAAACCTCGTATACAAACTTGCCAACAAAAAATATTTAAAATCGGTACACTATTTAGGTGGAGTCCAGTGGCATAGATCCGTATAAAAGATATATAACAAAAATGGATACCGCCTCAAACGAATATGGCTGTCTACTTTTAAATTTTTCAAAAAAAAAGTTAGGTTAGGACGGCGCTTGCGGTTCCAAGTTACCTCCAATAAATAACGGACAGCTCAGGTAGTCGACGAAATCTATCAAGTTCCCCGCTTTCAACAATTTTACAATCAGCCATTCTCTAATTTGAAGCATAAAACTACAAAACAGCTATTATGCAGTAAATTTTACACAAATGTAACTTAAAAATATTTATGTATTTTTACTAGAGTCCTAAAAGTTATTTTATGTCAATTTGTACTTTGAGACCTACTTTGTTTTTTTTACGTAAAATAATGTAGTTGATTTCGGTATTGATACTTTGTGTGTTGAAGACAATGAAACACTAGATGGCGTTAGTAAAAATATCAAGAAACTGAGATAGATGGCGCTTTTATCTCATGTAAAACGTAAAGGAATAAAATAAAGTGCACAGTATGATATTAGCACGTAATTGATCGAAAGTTATTGCCTTTTCCAGATATTTTTGACTTCGATTTGCGATCTCGCTGTATAATTGAATATAACTTTGTCTAGGGGAGCTGCAGCTTATCAAATGCGTAAGAACGTTTTCATAACGCCCCTATCGGGCGAGATTGACTTCTGTCAACTGTTAAAAATTTTATACGTCATTATTGTCAAGAATTAAAACGAATTAGGGTTATCGCACATCAATCCAGTTTTCGGCCACTCGCCACTCCACCGTCCAGCTTCGCGCGTTATAATACTTTATTCAATCTTAAAAACTAATTTGAATTTTTTAACAGTCAATGATCATGAAATTATAAAAAATCTGTAACCAATAAAATATTAACGTCAAATAACAATACACATCAAGTTAACATTGCACACAATACTCTTGTTAGTCCTAACATTTTCAGTGAGTAAAGACAGTTTTTTTTCTTCTTACAATAGTTCATTAGCACCTCAAGTCAATATAGCAAATAACAAAAGCCTTGTCGTTGTAGTTGACTTGTCATATTTTGTGACAGAGCCAACAACTATCAGGTATTTCAAAGTTATGTTCTCCCTAACCACAACATTGGAATGGTAACCCTTAAGCTCTCGCTACCAATAATGTTAATTATTTTAACATGGTATGCGCACTTATCGTTAATATAACCTCTACAAGGTAAAAAAATCTTATTGGTTCTTTAAAAGCTATTTACTACCGATTTTAATTATACCATAATGTCAAACATTATATAATAACATGAACTTGAAATGTAAAATCAACGTCTGGTTTTCAATATGTATATAAATACTTGTAAGTACCTAATAATATTTTGTAGGGAGTTTTTTTTATTATTTTAAGATAGGGTGATTTCCACCCTATTACAAATAGTGTCGGATTATAAGGGTGGTTTTAGGAAGCCGTTGGGGTTGAACAGTGAAACCCTTAAACTGCGCAATGATAAAATTTCTTTCTTTAACGATGTTCAATATTTTAAAAGTTAAATTCATATGAAATTTCCATTTCATTTTTTTTTAAACTGAAGCAGTAGAAAATGTATCTAAACATATAGACCATAACAGATATATATGATGGGATGGACGTGTTAGTGTTAAAAAATCTGTCCAAAAAATATCAACAAAACAAAAGCAAATATTTTATACAAAGCAAAGCGTTACTTATGAAGTCTATCTCTACCCAAATAAAACGTTAGATAGAGACGGACGATGTAAGAATAATAATAGAGAATCGCTAAATTCGTCCCTTGCGCCCCTTCGTGTCGTTCTTGGCAACCGGTTTTGTATGTGGAACGGTCATAACATGAATCAGCCAATAGGAGAGGCAGATTCAGGGCGGGCGTACGATTGGCGATGGACGGTCGAGAGCGTGTGACGCGGGGGGGCGACGGCCATGGGTGCGGCGTTGCGCGGCGCGGCGGCGGCGGGAACGCGGCGCTCCACACCGCACAGTCGTGCTTCGCCTCTCGGAACGAAGGTTATTCTTATAATGATACCGTCGCCGGACTATCGATAAAGTGTGTTTGTATGCCGTTTTCATCGATAACTAGTGTTGTGATTACTTTCACTCGTGCGAATGTCTCGTTTCTTAACGTTTTGTTTGTTTTTTCATTTTAATAATTGCCGCATGGGTCGGCGCTTACGTTTCAGTTAAACCTTTATTTTGAAACGATGGAACGTAGTTCTTATGGTTTTTACACTAAAAGGTATTTTGTGTTGTTTTTTTACTTCATGGTTGCGATTGGATGTGGTCGAATGCGTCTCGTGTGGCTATGGAGAATGGTACCTGTGATTGTAATGGACTGTTACTCTACATTGGCATATCAAGTTTTATATACCGACTTTTATAAGAAGTTAAGGAGAAAGGAAACTTGCTTTGGCATTTCGTTTTTTCCGTTTTTACAAGATCCTAACTCGCATGCTTTATATTCATACTACAAAGAGCATGTACCCTGAGGCTTTGTTGTTTAGTTTAATATAGGGGGAGTCGGTTAGTATTATTATTGCCATGCTTCGGGGAAAAGCTGACAATGTAAGGCCCTAGCGCCCGAGGGTCGACAGTCGACAGGCGTGGGGAGAAAGGGCGCCGACTGTCTGCACACATGCAGAACCGGTTTGCTCTCCGACTCCCCTAGTGCGCTTTACTATTTCTCTTTCTATGCCACACGTGTCCGCATAATGCCCTCTTGCTCGCACATTTTCATTATTTTTTGCTTCCCCTTGTGAAATAAAGCCAGACAGGCCGTTTTTATTTAGGTATCTGGTCCTAAATAGGTGTACCCTTGTATTAGTAGAGGAAATGGTAAGTTTTAATAATGCAAAAAATGGGCATGGGAAAATGTTATTAACATTTTCTTATTCCTTTTAAATAGCATTTTTTCCTCTGTTAGATTCTCCTATGCATATTCCACCTGGCATGTAAATTTTAATTTTGTATTTCCTAATACATTAATAACATTTTACAAAAAAAAGATAGCACTTGATATTAAAGAACATAACTTATCCTACGAATTATTCGGGATGTTTGTATATAAGTTTAGGCGTCCTCAAAATCATTTGTTAACTATTCGTCTCATCACAAATTAGAACAAATGAAAAATAGAAATAGATCATAAAATAGAAGTATAACCCGTGTAAAACTGTCAGCAATGCAATCTGCCGGTTATAATCAGTTTGTAGCCAAATTCAACAATTTCATGTCTAAAAAATACAAGAATTAGCACTCAACACGATAACACAAAATTTTCTCAATTAGATGTATATAATTCTTGTTGAAAAGAAAAAAATATTCACTATTTACGCAAATTGATTTCAAACAGTTCCTTTTAGAATTAATAGGTTTTATAACCAAAATTGCGTCACTGCAAAGTGGTCACATTGACATTTAAAACAATTCATAGACCAACAAGATTATCTGACACGGTGGGCATAAGTCTAATTAAATAGCTCAGTAGCGCTCCTCTGTTGTTTTCAAAAGTGTCAAGGATTTTTGTTGTACTATAGCTGTCTTGTCATGTTTATTCTTTTCCGTCAAAATCTGTGCCTGTGTAAGTTTTCAATACTTTCTTAACTAACTGCGATAGCAGCGACTCATTACTGACTCTGATAAGCTTGTCACACTATAAACCTAAGCACGATTCCTCTGAATGTTATCAAGAGACCGACACCCGAAGATAATAATTATTCACCGCCATCTATCGTAGTCTACCTTAAATTAGCTTTTACTCGTTCACTTCACGTAATAATATAATTAAATGATGGGAAGAAAAACCAAAGGTTATGAGTAGATGGCGCCAGCGGCAGGTTTCCTTCTGTCATCCATCAAATTTCATACGTCATTGTTAAGAATTAACTTCTTAGGGTTATCGCACATTACGTTAGTCCTTGTCCATTTTCTACCACCGGTCCGCCTCGTGTTCGTAGCGGCATACAACCGCAGCCGCATACCCGCCACCTCGACGTCACTAATTGAGCGGGATAAAAATATAAAAGAGATCATTACGTTTTAAATGGTATTAAGGTTCGCACAAAAATTTATCTTATTACAACTTTTTCAGTGTTGCAACATATGAATATTGTAGGCCAAAAGTTTAAGACCAACTTAATTAAAGTACAAATTAACTTCTCGAGCTTTTCACATTTTATGACGTCTTTATTGTAGAAACCGCAAGTTTAAACTAATTAAGATTTTTTTTGTGAACAAACCAAAGTAAATTCAGGTAATTATAATTTTTAACCAATACATAACAAAAGCAAAGTAATTAATAATAAGAACATTATAAAAAAATGTTACCACTCTACCACCTGGCTCTAGCGCAGCGTTTATCGGTGTTTTAGATGTTTTTATACACTAGCTTTCGTCCGCGTGTGAAAAAGTGAGTAACCTATATTCTTCCAGACTATGCTAAATTTCATCGAGATCCGTTCAGCGGTTTAGGCTACAAATTGTAACAAACATACAACCATCTCAACTTTCGCACTTATAATATTAGCAGAGCGTCGGTGGCTCAAAGGTTTAAGTACTTGACTTGTAATCCACAGGTCTTGAGTTTGAAACCCGTTATGTACCAATGTAATTTTTGATTTTTCAAATATCATATGTACATAATTTACCCGACGTTCTTACGGTGAAGCAAAACATCGTGATGCAACCTGCACTGGGCCAACGTGGTTAACTATGGTCTAGTCACCTTCCCTTAGGGTAGACTTCGAGCCCCTCAGTGAGGACGTACAGTCAGCTGGTAATGTTAAATATTAGTAAGAAGTAAGATTACTATCTTGCTAGATTCACTTGAAAGTAAATAAAAGTATGACTTCTTTAAATAGTCGATACTAACAATAGAATATATTATAATTGATGGATGATGAATGGATTTTGGTTATGTGTGGTCTTAAACTTTTGCCGACAGTGAGTACCGATGTTTTACTTATAATTGCTAGATATTAAAAAGTTAAGGTTTCTAACTCATCGACAAATTGTGACATGAAAAAAATCTAAGCCGATATTTATTTTTATTTTTTTTTTTTCATTTATTTATTTATTTATTTAAAGCTACTCAGCACATGTGCTGATCTTCAGTGGCCATTGAAAATAGATGGCACTAACTAATACATTTTATAGGTACACAATGATATTCTATACATTATAACAACCTTATTCTCCATTACAAAATAATATGTATTATACATTGTCAATATCACACATTTTTGAAAATCAGATTAATTAAAGAGCTATTTATTATTTCGACAATAGCCGCCTAATCTACGTACACTCAATTGTAATATAAAGTTACACGAATTCCCTTTAGTTTTTAGAAAAAACTTTCGGCGACATAATGAAATTTTGAGAATATTTAATTCCCGTTCATAACAATTATGTGGGCCCAAAAATGATTTCTTCGCGAAACGTTATGTTATTCTCCCTTGAATTGATGTATGACGCGATGTCCGCGACGTATAGTTAACTATATATCTTTATCCCGCTCACGCTTAGACGGTGGCGTGTATACCTTGCGGCGTTCGCGAAGCGTTGCGATGCCGGGTGTGCGTGGATTTGACTAATGTGCGTTAACCTTTATTTAGTTTGTAGAAGCATTTTTAAATTTGACAGTCAAAGAATTACAAGTCACATTATTACTACATATAGACCGACAAGATGTCTGATCCGGTGGGCATTAGTGAAACTAAATTGTGATAACTCACTAGCGCCCTCTTTTTATGCCATTTTCCATATCCATGCAGGTTTTATGTATTTCAAAATAGAACCAACCGATAGCAGCGCCTTTCTCACTTGGATATATATCCTTGTTTGACTATACACAGTAACTGTCGTTCATGCGTCGTCTATAGCAAGCTGACAAATTTGACAGAATATTATGATTCTCAATTGACATTGACAGCGTCGCTTTTTTTCAGTATTTTGGTACATTTTTTTAAAGTTATCAAATAATTACATTCGTAATAAAATCTATTTTAATGCTTAACTTAAGTAAGTAGAAGTAATACATTTTAAATATGATATTTCTTGTGACAATTGTTGCTCTGCGTTGTTGTAATTGACAAAATAAGCATATCCATTATTATCATTGTTAGCAAAGTTTTTTATAAATAGTTCTGTTTACTAATCTAAAATCCGAAATGTAAGTTTTACAAAAGTCAATTATTGTGGGCTGTAACATCATTTGTGATGAGTCTATGTGTACTTTAACTTTTTATCGTGCTTCGTCCATTTAGGCTAATATTTTTTACTAAACAGCGTATGGCTCTTTCATTTCAGGACGGAAATAATAGATAGTATTAAAAAAAAGGAACAAGAAAAAGAACAGACTCACACATCAAGTTATCAACAACATTTATCAAAATCTGGAGATAAACATAATTCTGATAAGCAAATTACAAATGCACCAGTAACCCAGCATGTGCCCGTACAGATACTTAGCCAACCACATGGATCTGGCTCAGCCATCCATTCAAACCATTCAAAAGAAGATTCCAAAGATAAAACACTAAAAGTGGCCAATTCAACAACCATAACATTAATAGAAAACGGTGCAACCGCTGCTGAAAAGGATAAAGATAATAATAATTATCCCAAAAACTATTTTTCATTAGAACCCAAGAATGATAAAAAGGATGAAAATAATAAGAACAGTATAACAATAACTAGAACTAAATCAAAGAATTCCCCAGGTAGTGGGCAATCTGAAAAAACTAAGAGCCAATCTAAGGTAACAAAGAGACCTCTGCAATGTTTGGAGACACTCGCAGAGAAAGCAGGAATCACTTTTGAGGACAAATACGAGGCTGCCAATACACTTCTAGCGTTAGACAAACAAAACAACCCTTACAGGAGACCAGAGTTGAAGCAGCCAAAACTAGAACCTGATACTCAGCAATCTACTGAGGAGTATAGATATAGGAACACAAAAGAGGATGATGATAAGTTGCAGGTAAATCAAATTATGAAGCATAAGACATTTTTACGCATGACTAACAACAATCCTGTGTGATCTTATAAAACTGGTTATTGCAAGGTTTTTCGAAGTTAAAAACTGGTTTATCACAAGCTAAAAAATGATAACATTTAATATAAAACTTGCACTGCAAAATACAAAGCTTAATAACCACAGTATTTCAAATAACTAATGTATATTTTGCACTAAGTTTTGTGGTTTTTGAACAAATCTAAACATAAGTCTTAGAAGTAATTAACACTAACGTTTAGGCTAAAGATTGTTATTAAATATGAAATGTACATACATGAGGATTATACATAAAATTGCATGTTGGTGTGGGTGTGTTATAACATTGCTAGGTTTATTAAACAAGGTTCCTTAAAAGGGTTGTAAATAGTTAAAATGTCCATTTATTATCGTTTAAAAAAATGTATATTTAATTGATTGTATAAGATATCTTTTTTTGGGAGCCTTTATTATAAAGAGGTGGTGGTTAATATCTTATAGCTCTAATTATGTTATTTCTCTTTGACATACATGCTTAACACCTTAGGTGCCATGTGTATCTTTGTCACAGTGTCTAGAATACTGTGTATGTGGCCTGGGAGGTATGAATTTCATATGAACTATTTCCCAAGCCACAAGTATCTAAATGTCACATGGATAAAAAAGGGGAACAATGGGGGTGAAAAACAATATATGATATATGTAGTTTTTAACACATTTCAAGAAAAAAATATTGTGTTTTTTTTTAATGCTCACTTAGGGTCTGGCGCTGAAAGTGTTAAATGATACACTAAATTTCTTAACAATTATTTGTAAGAAATTCCTGTTTTGTAATCTAAATAATTATATATAATATAAATAATTTAACCTAATGAATGATGAATCAACTTGAAACATTAAATGCCTTTAAATACCTTAATATTCAACTTTCTCTAGAATAGTATACAAATAGTTGATCTTTATAATGCTAAATTCATGTAAGAAAATAATAATAATTATTATTATTAATGAAGTAATTGAAATTAGTAGGTTATTAAGTTTTCAGTACTAGTTCATTGACAGCATAGGAATTTTGATTGTTCAGATAGTAATTTGTTATAGTAATTTTATTTACAATACTTAAATTTAATTTTGTTGAGATTGTATTATTATTTATTCAAATATCTATTTTTAAGAATAAAAAGATGCTTTGTAATTTTATAATTCTCAAAGTGCAACATTTTAGTCATGTTTCCAATACATGTTTGTGTAGTATTTTAAATACATTTTAAGAAAACTTAATTTTTAATATGCTAACAATGTATGTGTGTGGTATTATCAAGGGCGGATCCAGCTTTGGGGCCAGGGAGGGGGTCACATAGTCGTGGTCAAGTCAAGAGCTTGACAAAATATGTAAATATATTTTGTCAAGGTCTTGACCAACCTGGGGGGGGGACATGACCCCCATGCCCCCCCTGGATCCGCCGTTGGGTATTATGTACAGTAAGCTTATTGCATGATATTGTTAGCGGTGTGGACGCATTACATTTGTCACAGTTCTTTGCAACACGCGTCTTTACTAGTTGAATGACGGCAACAAATATCTTTTTATATAAATTGCACTTTAATTCACGAGCAAACTAAAGAATTCTCCAAGATTTGAAAATTGATTTAAGCGCCATCTAGCGATCTAAAGCGACGTTAAAGATACAGTTAAAAAGTTGTCCTAATGGGCAGTTTTGCAGTATTAACATATAATTGGAATAAAAATCAATTAAAACAATCTTAAAAAAACCTTAAACAATAGAATACTTAAAAAAAGAATATATGTACCATATTTATTTATACTCAAAATGCAATTTTACGAGCTGAAGTGGACTATTATATCAGTAATAGTTAATTAGATATTAAAAAAAAATAACTTCATTTCAATTGTACGATTGTAACGACTTTCCGTGTGAAAACCTTACAAAAAAAACAACAATACAAATTTTCACTTAAAAAGCAAACTTTGAAACTGCAGTGCTCCGTTATACCCACAGTAGGAGAATAATATGTGTAATAAACACATTTAAAAAAAAATTAAAAGAATAATTACACTTCAAAAAGTTATATGGTCAAAGACCATTATTACGCACGTTCCTATAAAAATTTATTAAAACCGTCATAAACAACAAAAATATTTAAAACGTTTATAATGAACATTTGGTAGGGCGATCTGAGAACGGTTGAATCTTCATGGCTTGATAATAAAAAAAAACACTAAATATGTTTGCGCTAAAAACCGGTTCAACTACTTGTATAAAAAAAAAACACAATTATCAAAAGACACGAGAATAGGCACAGCTTTTTCAGCCAATATCGGACCTAGGACAGGTGTTCTACGTAAATGTATAGCAGACGAGCATTTTGGTTACAATTTAACGGTATACAATTATGCGTAGTCCATGACAGCTTGTATAATTTCATTCCGATTTAAAACCGACTAAGTTCACAATCGCTCTGTAACATTCTAGCCTATACCTCAACTGTATATACCTGTGCACTTCATTGCTTTATGGATATTATAAAAGTTGAATTAATTACGTATTTGAATCAAGATTTCAACTATCAATACGTTTGTTTAAAAGTTTATTGTCATCCCTCAAATTATAATTGAAAAAGTAGAGAAAACAATACGTTTTAAAAAGGTCAAATTCCATTGAAACGATCATCAAGGGCCTAGTCTTGATATGTCTTTAACATCTTCGCCGCTATACCAGCGCCTTTTCTCAGTCCAGATAATCTTGTCGCAATATACATACCTATTTCGTGAGCATTGCAAATTGATTCTCTTCGCAAAAATTTCGATTGACATATAGTATGAATTATACTTGATCAGTAAATATTCAACTCCAGCCTCTGTTGCCTCAAGGGGTAGGCAGTACTATTTGTCGAGATCTTGATAGACCTCTCACATAGTTACAACAAGTAAATATTTGCTAGATGAAATCTGAAATATAATTCATTGTTGTTATAATAAAATACGAAAATTCAGCACAATGCAAACGGCTTGCTAACGATATCCAATTCCTGGACAATAGAGTATGTCCTGTTACGTCGACTATTTTCATATTTTTATCAACGACGGTTGCCGTAACAAAGTGTCAACTTCAACTTACACGTTACCGGAACTGAAGCGTCGCAGCCATCCCTTCACTGTTCCGTTCGATGTTGTACAATGCATACTTCAATTTAATACACAACATTATATATTTTTATAGCCGTTTGCTACGCGTTTGTAATACCAATTACAAAGATTCTAATTGTCATTTACCTCCATTTTAAAATTATATCTAGACCTAATTTAACATCTAACTGGATTAACTAAGCAAAGGATCTCTTTAAAGCGTTACAGTGAACTCGCGCCGCAACTCTTAACACATATCCAATTTTAAAATCTAATTTAATTATTACATTGTATTGTACATTTAAAAGAACGCGTTGATGCTTCATATGTGTATCTGGTGTTGGGACAACAAAAGAATATCGGAAGGTGCGGATGTAAGAAGAAATACATTTATATTCCAGATACAGCAGCAATTAATCCAACAGCAGCAACAACAGTTGCATCAGTTGCAACAACAACAATTGCAACAACAACTGCAACAATTCCAACAACAAGCGCTGCAGAGACAGCACCACGCCATACAACAACATCTAAAGAATCAACAAGATCAAGAACTGGTAACAGATTTATTGTACTTCAGTTATTATGTGGAGAGATCTGATGGCCTTGATTCCCAAAAATAGATTTTCGTCCCTTCTAATGGCAATTAAAGATAACAACAGTGTCAAAAATGCTCAATTCGCTTTGGTAAACTCAGTATTCGTCTTGGGGCGGGGGTTCCCAAATTAGGTAGATGTCTAAGTAGAAACTAACGAGTAATTCAGTTGTTGTCAAAAGCAGATTGTCATCAATTCAAACGTTTCACAGAAACGGTGGAAGTAGGCACTATAAGTTAGAGAAGATACAATTAAATCCGATTCACCGTTTTTAAAGGATTTAACTTCTAATTCGAGCTAAAGCAAAATCTAATTACCTGATTGATTGATCTCATTAGTGTAGCTTAGAAGCCGCTGAACAGCTGGAAGCAATCACAGACGTTACCAGTACTATAAATACATAGATTATATTAAAAAGTTCTTTGGTGATATTCCCAGAGGAACCCTCTAAGTTCAGAAACACCTTGGTTAGTCTTTAAAAAATATATACTAAACTCAGAGTTGTTAAGTGATCACTAAATTAGGCATTTAGTGTGAGCGCGCTCAGCGACTGCTTAACTAACAGTCAAATGGAATTGAGTGTTTTGTCGCTAACACTACGCTCACTGTTGATTAATGTTTAGGTATTAAGGGTAATTTTAGTGTAGCTTTTTTATGAAAAATATACACTGGAGGCTTATGTAACCGATTAATTCGCAGTTAAAATCCGGTGGAATGGAATAGGTTAAATAGAGGTAACTCAGCTATAAAAATATATTAAACACAAACATTTGTGGGAATAATTTTTTGTGTTACTCTTATGGACGAAAGCAACTATCCATACAATAAGTTTTCACCGCCGAAACGTACAAAACTATGTTGTCATCTCTTTCATTCGCCATGATAAAACTGAGATAACAATATGTCTTTGGACTGGTGTCTCGAGAGTGGAAACACAAAAGGGCTGTCCCTTAGTTATCAGATCTCAAAATATAATAATCTGATTATAGTTCACGCAACGAGAATACTAACGCTAACGCATGTAACATACTAACAGTAGGTTTTGATTGCTTGACACTTATATTGACGTATGTTATCTCTGTTTCTCCAATGGGAAAGTGAGGGATGGCAATATGTATCTATACAAGTGTCGCTTTCGAAACCCACATTAAGATAGACTTACTAATTATACGCAAAGCACTCCTCTGTAGCTAATAAATAACACATCCACGCCTCATATCTCGATGATCTAACGATGTTTTTATTTGTAGCACATAAAAAAACTAATATATTTGTACTATCGGGGAATCTGTCGGTGTTCCACCTTCAAAGCTACAGTCGTTTTAATGTTTTATATGTATTCCAACTTCGAATTTCATTGGCTACTTGTTCGTTTATGAAGTTAATTTCTCAATCTTATAAAATAAAAAAAAACTTTTAAATGTCGGTCAGTGGTGCACAGCTAGTTGCTTTTTATTATTATCTAATTGGTTAATTGTAATGAGAGGCTTCGTTTTAAGGAATAGGGCAAATATTCTGAAAGTGGAACACCTCGAAACGCTCTGACTGTACATGTAAATAGTATTTAAGATAGTGTAATATGACGCGCCATTATAAATGCGAATTTAAGATTGTATGTTATTGTAAAATCTCGAACTAGAAATCTTAACAGTTACCGGTAAAACCAGTTAACTTTAGTAAAAGTCTAAAACTGAAATCACACGGCGCACACCTTTTACTAAACCATCACACAACTATTGTGCGGTTGTCGATTGTTTCGCAGCCAATTCAGTAGTTTAGCAAAACTAAAAGTCGAGTAGTGTGCCCACCTCCATAGAAGCTCATAGGAATCAAAGCGAAAGTAAACAGTTGTGCGATAGTTTAGTTTCAGGTGTGCGCACACTGTAAACTTATGAGACTTTAATCAGAACTATTTTAAAGGTAACTCGTAGGACAGTTGTTCGGGCCGTAACAGTAACATATACTTTATTAATTTTATATCGACTAACCTATCTCAATTATTGAAAGGAAAGAGCATAGTCAATATTATGTACTGATTGAAATGTTTGTATAGCTATAGATAGATAAGAATAATATTTATAAATTTTTAATCAACAATTCCTTTCGGTTTTCAATTTTGTTGCTTAGTCAAGTTTTAGTTGTTATTATAGCATTGTTCGGGAAGTTATATCTTTTGTGTAAAGGAGGAAAATTGAACGCTTCACACTAATACTTGTTGGGTTTACTTAAAATTGTAATAATTATAGAGACTTTAGGATCAGAAGAAACATGATTGCATGTGTTAAATTAAGAACCGTGGTTATATGCTGAGTAAACGAATATGTATGTATTTAAGATGTTGTCGACTTTAACAATAAGTTGGTTACTAACATTTATAATATGGCTTTATTTATAATGACTGCAAAATATAGAAATTGTTTATACAGCGATCTGTGCACAACTATTATGTCCATTTGTACATGTTCAAATAGTAAATATGTGATCTATTTAAATGCTAAATCAAAACCTTTGCTTACAGATGCAGAAACAATACCAACAGCAGCAGCAACAACAACAGCAACAACAACAGCAACAACAACAACAACAACAACAACAGCAACAGCAACAACAACAACCGCAGCAGCAACAACAATCAGCGCAGAAACCTGACGTACAAGTGACTCCGCAGCAAGATATATCTCAAAAGTTCTTACAGGTATTTAATAAATTTAATTTCTATCATATCAATAGAAAAAGTAGGCTAAAATAGTGGCGGTCGTAAGAAATACTAGATATTTTCGGAAATTTTTGGTGCACCGAAACTGTTAGAATGTGAGTGTTAGCATATGGAAGTGACCGGTTCAATAATTGGAGAGGCAACTCAATTTGAAGAAATTTTTTGATGTTGTAAAGACAAAAGACAACTTTTTACTTAAGTTATCATGGACGTTATAAAGAGTATAGACATGGCAGGGTACCATAAGTACAGCACAGTCTAGTCGAGGTTCCAATCGCAGTGCATGTTGCTAAGAGCGGTAATTATGATTTACTCCGTGCTATCTAAAGATTTCCAGGATGAGGATGTTGCTGATGGAGAGCCGCCATCTTAACAATAGCTGCTTCTTTACTAACCAAGACCAGCTTTTTCCTTTAGATAAATTTTAGACTTGCGCAGTGAAAATAATGTTTCGTAACTGTTAAAAGTCAATCAATACAATCAAGTGAGTTATTTTGAGGTACGTGGCAATCGACAAGGGTGTTTTCATTATATGGGGATTATGTAAAAAATTCTCCTACCTCCCGACATTACAAAGATAAATGTATCGTTTGCGTTTGATTTCTCAGTATTTCCAGCGATATCAAACGTATTTGTATGTTTTTCATTGCTATTTTTATCCTTCTATTCTGACTATATTCTAGAAACACCCATATTTTTGTGTAGGTTGTGATATTGCCAGTCCTTGTATAAAATCGTTAAAATGTTTAGTCGTTGTCGGGACCTCGTCAGTGTCGATACGTTTTCGCGTCTTCGTCTCCTCTAAAGCAAATCTCGCGAATTTCTTCATCATGGCTCCTAATGATGATTATCACCTTACTTACATCATTCTTATAATTTACGTTTTCTTTAAACTTTGTGCTACCCTATACATTGTTTATCTCTTCTTTCAATTTTACTTACGGCTATAAATTCATTTATAGCCTTAAGTATATTCGTTCATTTCGTCAGTTTTTTTTTTATGTTTTTCTTTTTCAATACAACCATGGAAGAAAACGAACTTCAAGTTATCAGTTATTTCATGATTATTTCACGTCTAATGGTAAATGTTGTTTAACTATTTTATATATGTACTACAAAGGTAGAGGAAGACCGAAGAAAGTATGGATGGATTGTGTGAAAGAGGATATGCTTAAGAAAGGAGTGGACTCAGATATGACGGCTGATAGAGATGTATGGAAGAGCAGCACACACTGTGCCGACCCTCCGTAAGGGAAAGGGCAAGTGAATGATGATGTGCTAACATTTTATCATTTAACTACAAGAGAATTGCTTTTATGAGTTACGTGACAAATGAATTATTTTCCTCTGCCACCCAACTTTTCTTCGTACCACTCGCGTTTTTTACTTTAAAATGAGTTAACTGTAAAATTGGCTGTACCATATGGTGATAACTAATATACTCGTAGAAGACGTCAGAATAAACCAGTTATTAATTTTAAGACACAAATAAATGTTGGTGTAGATCCATCCGAGATTGTTAAGGATCTTCAGAATAAGGAGTTAAATATGGAAGAATAACATATACTTTCCACCCATTCAGCCCGTGCACACCCAACAATTCAACGTACCTGGAATAGGAGAGATCAATCTAAGCTTTCTGCCGTCTCCTCAAACCAATTTGTTCTTCGAGAAGAACAAGGCTACCATACATACGGATATAAAACAACAACACGTAAGTTACAATATACTTAAAACTTTTCATAACTTTAAACTAGCGCTTTATGTGTATGTCAAGGTACATAGTTGTATAGATGTTTGAATGTTATAGTCAAAAAATATTTTACTGTGGATTTCCTCTGACGAAAATTTATTGCCATCATCATTTTACTAACAACTAATGTGATTTTTTGCCAGTGGAATTTCACGGTTTAGTTCTTTTCTTTATGTTGCATGAAATTGTTTATTGTACTTACATTGTAACTGTCGTCAGTAAAAGAAAATTAATTTTACAATCTACTCAAATTTAGAAATCTGAGCGTATTAACCAAAGTAATAATCGCTCTTATTTTAAAACTTAATTGAGATGAATTAATGAAAAATAAATAACAAAAATACGTTATTTCTATTTAATAATTATTAATCTAAATAACATTAAAAATCAAAAAAATCAGGAAAAAAGAGATATCCTTTAAAGATATTATTAAAAGGTTATTTCGTTCACAAAAGTATAAACAAAAGTAAACGAATTGAAGTGGGACATTCTTTTTTTTAATTGTTAAAAAAGAAGATAGCAAAATTAGAAAGGGGCGTTGTGCATGAGTATGTTGCTTGTCTGTTCCAGTTAGTAGAGGGTCAGGGTCAGTCTCAGGTAGTACAACAGCAGATTAGCATGGCCCAGCACGAGCCTACACAACAGCACCACCAAACGGTCACCGTTGTGTCTTCCATGCCTAGCAGCATGGCACACCAGGTATGCGCTTCGCTTCATATCACCCCAGAACTCCGCTGCACTGATACTTGTATATCCATCTCTTATATTCTTTCTAAAAAAACAGAGACAGTATCAAGTGTCTGCAGTTGAGATCCACATGCTGTGCGAGTATGTGCACTTGAGGACGTTTTTATACTAACCATTTCAGTGTTCTTACTTACAATGCAATTAAGTCGAAAAGTAGTCATTAATAGTTTTTCGAGTATTCTACCAGTTAAATGTGCAATCATTTTTTTTCTATTTGATCGAAAATGTTACGTTTCTTTGACAAGTTTTTAATTTAATTGCATTGTGAAGTATTTCACCAATATGGGAAGACATAAATATCCTCGACTTCGTGTCGTTTCTGCGCAGTTCGCGAGCAGTAGGCGCATGCGCGCATACTGACGTGGATGTCCACTTAGATGCACGCTTCTCGCTATTGTATTGTCTAGTTATTTCTATGTGTTTCTATAAGTACTCAATATAGCAACTCATTGGTAACATTAATGATGCAACACTGGGACATATAATGTTATGAAATATGCTTCATCAGCAGTAATCTAATATTAAAACTGCGAAAGTTAAGATGGATGGATGGATGTGTTAGAGTTTGTAGCCTAAACTGCTGAACGGATCTCAATGGAATTTGGCATACATGTTTAGGGTAGGCTGGAAGAACACAAAGGCTACTTACTTTTGTTCTTTTACTTCCACATGAACGGAGTCGTGGTTAAAAGCCATTGTTTAATATTTATTTTAACTAACTAATTAATAGAAGCAATCATGATGCTTATTAATAACTTAAAAACGCGTCGCATCGCTTAGTGGAATTTAGCAGTTACAATCAGTAGCATAAAACTTTACAACTTATTCAACTGGAAAGATTAAAATAATCTCAGTGATTGAATAATTGAACGGTAAAGGAGTGGTAAAGTCAATTAAAGATAATTTGGTAACAGGTGCCGCAACAACCCCAGACCAGCGGGATACAGCAGCAAGCCAGTGGTATCACTACCATGCCACCATTGCCGAGCCTGCCGGCGACCACGGCCCATCCTCAACAACTTAGGTACCGTTTTCATTCATTTAAATCCCACCAGGTCACTATACGTCCACACTGCGCTCGAAGCATACCCTAAATTAGGGTAGTTAGGCAACCATGCTGGCCCATTGCGTGTTGGTTGTCTTCACACATATCTTTTGAATTTCTTCGCCGATACGTGCAGGTTGCATCATGATGTTTCCTTTATCGTAAGAACGTCGGCTAAATTACGTGCATATGAAATTCGATAATCACATTGGTACATGGCGGGTTTCAAACCCAGGACCTTTAGATCACAAGTCAAGTGCTTAAACCCCTAAGCACCCACGCTCTTCAATCATTCAATTATCTTATGTAAAAAAGGTAGCTAACTTAATTGAACCCAAGATCTATGGTTTATTATTTAACTGTATCAAAATAATTTATATAATAATAATGAGATCGTATCATATCTTGGCGGCTCGGAATCTCGGAGGGTCGGCGCGGACAATTTTAGATGTACGAGGATGTAGAGATGCATCGCGCTGATGACCCGCGGACATCAATTTGTTTGAAATCTTACGCCCTTATCCATTTAGTAATTCATATAATCCATTCGTCAACTTCATCTTTCAGTTACACTAACTTTTTAGTAATTTCAAACTTCTTGATACTTTGTACTCCCAGAAACTAAATCATTTTAGTCCATCAATCCAGTAACTTCGTTCTTCTCGTAATTTTTGCATTATTTTTTTAAGATATCTCCAGGATTAAAACAATGCAACTTCAACATAATATCCAAGAGCCAATAAACTAATGGTTTGGTGTACGGACTACCGATTTTGCGGTCGAGGGTTCGAATCCTGCAATTCGACTATTGTGAACCATATCCTAGCACAAGCTTAGAGCTTAGTTGGAATGGTTAAAGGAAATATTAGTAAATTAACAAAAAATCTACTAATATTTATAATAATTAAATATTAATGTGATGTACTAAAAATTAAAAAAAATATCGCACTCATGTGGCGATGATACTTAGCCGTTGTTATTCACAATATATCTCAATTAGTTTACGGATAGCAAAAGTTTTAAGTATTTATTTTAATATTTAATCATCGATAATCTATTATGTAATTAAAGTTAATTTGTTTTCAAATTAAATAACGATGTTTGCTATAAGATACCTATAATGATTTGCAACAGTTTAGAAGTTGTGTCCTTTTTTTTTATAACATAAGGTGGCAAAATGGCGCCAAAATGGCGAAGCGACCGCTGCACATAGACATCCGCGATTGCAGATGCGTTGCCTACCCTTATCCGACGGAGGAGGAAACGCACATAATGAGGACTTTGCCCCTTCCTATGCATCTCCTCTACCGTCAAATCCACTTCCCCTTCCCATCCTCTCCTTATAAGAAAAGGGTGGTAAAGAGAAAGGGAGTTAAATTAGGCCTCCGGCACCACACTCATCAGACTGTACACGGCATTGGTACCATTTGACGGCTGTATTCTGTGTGGTCGTGGTATTACTGGAGGCGTGCCGGCCTGCACTGCTAACATGTTAAAGCGGGCACTACCACTGTTAAAGTGTTGTTACTTTAACAGTGGTAGTGAGTTAAACTGTTACTTTTTGGTTAAGCCTTATGTGATGTGTGATTACATTTGTGTGTTTATTCGTAGCACGGACTGGGGCGGTCGCGTGCAAGTGATACAGCAGCCGTTGCAGAATAGCAGCTATCTTCAACAACTCTACAATGCTCAAACACCACTCCTCATGCCGGGGAACATCGCTCTGCATCCAGGCTTAAACTCTCAGCCGATACAGGTAACATATATTGATTTTACAAAGTGAATGGATGGATTGTATGTAAGATAGGAGAGAAGTCGAATATGATAGCTGAGAACACGAACATCACCATTACCATCACCACCAGCTCACTATATGTCCCCACCGAGGGGCTCGGAGCCTACCTTAAATTAAAAGGGTGATTAGGCCATATCTTCGAATTTCTTCGCCGAAATGTGCAGTATCACAATGTTTTCCTTCACCGTAAGAAAGTCGGGTAAATTATGTACATATGAAAATTCGAAAAATCGAAAATCACATTGGTACAGCGGGATTCGAAACCAAGACCTACATTTACCTAGATTATAAGTCAAGTGCTTAAACCACTGAGCCATCGACGCTCTCGAGAACACGAACGTGTATTAATAATTACTTTTTTAATTAAAATATTTATATAATTCTTAACTTTTAATGACTTATTTGAATTAAAATGTCAAGAAAGTAAGCAAAAATAAACATACAGACGAATTGAGTACCTCTTTTTGGGAAGTCGGTCAAAAATAGACTCCATTGTCAACTTCGAAATATATTATTGAAAAATGATCTTCAAATTACTGAATATTTTTAAGAATTATTTAAATCGACACGGGTATTATTTATGTGGTCAAATCTTATAAAACTTTTGATAAATATTTTCATCTATCTATACTTAATATTATAAAGAGGAAAGATTTTTATTTTTGTATGTATTGAAATAACTCAAAAACTACTGGGTCGATTTTAAAAATTCTTTCACCGTTAGAAATGTAATTTATCAGTGAGTAACTATAGGCATATTTTTTTTATTTTAGTCGCGGAAAGTCACAAGCAACAGCTTTGAGATTCTTACTATTGTGGAAAACAGTCATAGCTTATGGTTAATTATTATTTTTTTGTTTCAAATAAAGGTAATAACGGCCGGTAAGCCATTCCAAGGGAACCAACTGGCGCCGCACATGCTCACCACTCAAGGAAAACCTGTCTTGCAAGGCCAAACAGGTAAGTCGTTTATTTTGTTTTCAATTTTTTAAATTTCTATTATTGATATACACAGATAATAATAATACACAGAACAGATTAGTTAAATTTAAATTACGTATTCCAAATATTTAAATCTACTTAGATTTTATATTTTAACAGAAAAACATGAAAACTCTCTATTGTATTTTCCCTTAGTCTTAATTGTACATTTATATAAACAAAGCTTCCATTAGTCCATTACCGATAAGATCGAGTAAACATTTCTTGTAATTTCTCAGTTGACAGATCAAGGAAAAAATATCTTCTCCTAATTGGGTGTTCTTCCAATATATATTGTAACGTTGATAAATAAAATGAGAACACAAAATACAACTTAATTTATTTAATACGAAATCTATTTTGTACATTTTTTTAATATGTGATGCGCGTTCTTGTTAATATAACAGTGTGGTAGTGCCCGCTTTAACATGTTAGCACTGCAGGCCGGCACGCCCCCACTAATACCACGACCACACAGAAGACACGCGTCAAATGGAAGCAATTCCGTGTACAGTCTGATGAGTGTGGTGCCGGAGGCCTAATTTAAGTCCCTTTATCTTTACCACCCTTTTCTCATAAGAAGAGGATGGGAAGGGAAAGTGGATTTGACGTAGAAGGAGATACATAGGAAGAGGAAATATCCTCTTTATGTGCATCTCCTCCTCTGTCGGATAAGGTAGGCAACGCATTTGAAATTGCGGATGTCTATGGGCAGCGGTCGCTTCACCATTTTGGCTTCAGGTGGCCGCTTGCTCGTTTGCCACCACACCAAAAAATACATCTGCTTCTGATGAGAACTTCTGCACTATTCAGTTTTGTAGTGAATTTTACAGGTCTAACTGCTTATCAGGATCCAGGTTCAAATTACTTCAAACTTTGAATGAATTCGTTGTGATTGTTTCAAGTCTCGTGATTGGTTGAATATGTGAATGTTTGTGAATGGCATACATTGTTTATTATTTTATTTATTTAATTGGCATATTTTATCGGATTTATTTTAATGCTTCTTCTTACTGCCGCACGGTTTTTGTACATCAATAGATGGAATTTTCTCATGTAAAATATATCGAGGGCCCTTAGTGACCACTTGTTGCAACTGCTCCACTCAGAGGCTAATTGGTCACTTGGGGTGATCCTTAGTGTAGATTAAGAAATCCACACTAAGAGAGAGCTCTTAAAAACTGTTCGTGGCATAAAAGTGCGGCAGTTAAGGGGGGATTGTTTGTCAAAGCGGTATTGCAGGCTTAGGGCTGACAAACGCTTTATTTGTCTGCCATAATATACGTCGTTAGAGCTTATTGTTTCGGCTTACACGCATTTATTATTTTTTGATCACTAATGCGATTAGGGTACTTTATATCTCTACATATATTGAGAGGAGTATCTTACGAGTATTGTGATCTTTAGGTTATAATTGCAGTTGGAACTGATATGAAATTTTAATATCTTATCTTTCCTATCGCCATTTTCGTATAAGTAGCTTTTGTATGGTAGTCATTAAGCATGTACTTTTATGGTAGGATAAATGTTATATGTTTTATTCAGTCACAACCTTCTTCGTACAAATTTAAACTCAGTTGCTATTGACAAAACTTTTTTTTTTACTAAGAGATCGCGTATACATACTATATCGTCAACCGATGAAATGTTCTAAGTGGTATCTTAGTTAAGCACTAGTTAAATTATTTAAAAAAATGAAAAAAGACTTCGCTTCGCTTTTTTGCGTCTTGTACATTAATAATCCATTGTAAAAAATAATGCCTCTAATTGAGAGGAAAACGACGGGTTTGAATTTTGTACGAGGCGGGTTCATTTAGTATAAGCCGTTACTAAAGGCTAGGGTTTTTAAACAGCGCCGTTCCCGGGTTATGCGACTATTCCAACAACGCAGAACCAAACGTTCGTCTTCAGTCCACTCGGCGTTATCAACTCGCAGTCCAGCATCATACCGACGCACTCACAGCCCACCGTGTCCGGCATTGGACAACAACAAAAAACTGCTGATATTCATAAGGTAAGATTTTTTCCCCAACAGACTATGGTAAATTACAAACTGACATTTTAAGTTCCGTTCCACGCAACATATTATAAGCTAAAACTGCAGCGGCATTTTGTTTTCAGTGTTTTGTTTTTTTTATTAGGCCGTTGTCTTGTTCATAGGCGGGTCTAACTAATTTAAGGTTATAGGGATTTTGTGAATAGTTTAGAGCTCTAGGGTTGTAGTGGAAACGTTCCTTTCTCTTCGCGCTTGATACCACGAGGTCACTTCGGCGTTCCGGGTTAGATTTCTGGAGGTATCAAAGATAACAGCGTTATTTGAGAACTAGCTTTTACCCGCGACTTCGTACGTCTAAGCTAAATTTCATCGATATCAAGCAGTTCTTAGTTTACGCTATAACAAACATCCGTCTATCGATCTAAACTTTCGCAGTTATAATATTAGTATGATTTGTGAATAGGTGATAAGTGGTAGCAAGGTTGCTAGCGCTAAGGTGACAGGTGCAACCGGCAGTGGTCAAACGGTGCCCGTTCATGCCCAATGCGTCCAAGTATCGCAACCGGTGCTCGGAACTCAACAACCAACACAAGCCCAAATCATCAGCCCGTTACAGGTAACACTCCTCACTTTACTACGTTCTATCTATACGTACAGTCGAGGACTTATTTCCTAACGATTTTCGGTGAAAATTTAACGATTAAAATTTGATTATATTGTAGGGTCAATTTAAAAGATCATATTTAAGAACCTTGTAACGGCGGGCATAAAATAATATTTCTTTTATCGAAGTTAGAACAGCACAATTGGTTAACTTTTTTACATCTTGATTACGTATTCCTGTTGTAAAAAAACCCGAAATATCGTTATAATGTTATCAATAAAAATAAATAAACTTGAATAATTAAAATAATTTTATCAAATTATTAAACAAATTTGAATGTCGATAATGTTGTTAAAAAATTAATTATCCTACTAATATTATAAATGCAAAATTTAGGTGGATGGATGAATGGATGTTTGTTCGAAGGTATCTCCAGAACGACTCAACTGAATAAAATTAGGATTGACTATGAATTAAGATTTTTTTTTACATTATTTTTACATTAATTTACTATAGAAAATAACAATGAAACAAGATTCGAATGACAATTTTTTTAAATAAAATTACAGTATTTGCTAGTGTTTTTTTTTTTTTCAAAAAGTAAATTTAATTCACATGTGTTTGATGTTTGTATTGATTCATTTACTAATTGGTGGTTTTATTAGTCACCATACTGTGAAGATAAAACTAACAGATGTCAAACATGATTTATTTTATTGGTTGCACTAAACGTGGACAGTAAATTTTTTCTTTGTAACTGTACAGTTTGGTAGGACAAAAATGTCCTCGACTGTACCTTCATTCGCCATTACTAAAGCGAATTTGTTATGAAAGCAGCGATCATACATTTAGCGAGGGACGTAAATTTATACTTTGACGCGACTCCAGACTATTTATTGATTTGTGTTATAGACGTTTTCTTAAAACAGCGCTGCCCACTTTGTTTGTTACAATCTACCTTTATAACTTACACTTGTTTTCTCTAACATTGGTAACATCATCTTTCTATACTTTGTTCTGGCTATATTCATTGTGAAAATTGTGCAAGTTACTTGTACAAAATGAAGCGCATCTCATCAAGGAATAATTGCTTGGCTTTATTGAATATTTCTTATAATTGTTTTAACATGAAGCTGTGTTGCATTAAAAGGTAGTAACATATTTTTGTTACATTTATTTGTGTGAAAGCAATTGCGATTTTTTTTTCTCATTTAGCGTGCCATGATCAGAACGCAATTGTTTATTTATATTGTGTACAAGAGGTCGCCCACGACTTCGTCGGCGGGGAATTAAAAAAAATGTCCAATATATTCCCGCATGCATCAGCTACCATCCCGGTCAGTCCCGTAAAGATCAGTCCAGTCATTTCGGAGATAGCGATTTTATCAGCACGGAATTTAAAACGTAGCCTATTATCTTCACCTATATGTCAGCTATACTTCCGTCAAAATCGGACAATCCGTTTCGGAGTTTGCCCGAAGCAAATGCGGCTTGTAGACAGACATTTTTTTAAATAGCTACGCAAATAAGTTCGCGGTATTTTTTTTTTATGTCGCCGCTTATATCATTTTAACGCAACTGCGAGTGAAGTCCGCGCTTTCGGAGGTCGTGAAGCGGACCTGAGCCGGGTTGACGAGGAGCGGACCAATGCGCGGTTAACAATAGTTCGGTTTTAAACCGTTCACCAGCAAAATCGGGACGCGTTGCAAGTGTATATCTTGAAAAATAGTAAATAGACCTGTAGCTTATATAATTGACGTATGTTTTATAAATCGGCGTTAACCCACTCGGGATAGTTTGGCTTCTTATGATTTAACATTAGTGTTCGGTGATTCCCCAGACTGGAGGGCAGACGATGCAGTTCGCTCCGTGGCAGATCTCGGGCGCTCTCCCCCAAGTCTGGACCGGGGGACTGCAGGCGGGGACTTTGCCCACCGGGGGACTCCTCGCCCCCAACCCAATATTCATAAGGGGCACCCAACCAGAGGCGACCCCATCAATGTTTATTCAACATTCGCCTCAGAATAACGTTCAACAAAACAGTTAGTACCTTTTATATTGTACGTATATTTAGGCCCCTACACTGATAATAATATGTACCAATTATAAATATATTATTTTATATTTCATTAGATTATTTTATTATCTGGTGTGTTTAAAATGCGAATTGTTAGCATTGCGCATTGCGAAAATATTCTGACATTGCGAAATGTATGTATTAGGTGTTCACTTAGTACTTAATTGTAATTTTTTTCTTAATTTGGTGTAGACACGAGCGTGGCCGCCACTGCGACTACGGCGAAGCCCCGGGCATCATCCGATGGGGCTACGAAGGCTGCTCGTCCGCTGTCTAACATCTTACCATCGGGAGGAATTAGACCTGCCTCTTCGGTCTCCACGCAGACTGGCACAAATCAGTCTCAAAGCCAGGTAAAAAAAACATTAAACACAAATTATTCAATATCTATGTATTTGGGATTTGTTTTAAATTTTACTTGGTTTAGTAATTCAATTAAAGCATCACAATCCTAATAAATAGAGGTAAGAATTGATAAGGCGATTGAGGGTTCGAATCCCAGCATAGGTGCCTAGAGTAATGGGAATGGTTATAAGAAATTTAAAAAAAATCTGCAATATTAGTTTATTTAATAAGAAGATGTGTACAATACTGTTGACTTTAGGGTAAGCACCGAGGCAAGCAAGGCGTTCGTTCACCGGCGCCTTCTTCCAAACAAGATGCAGCCAATCAAACCGCTAACAAAATGCAACAACATAAGCAATCGTGAGTATACCAAGAATTGTTTTCAGAGTTCCATATGTGTTTCCTTGCACTTTTACGGGTTAGTTACATCACTATATAACGTGCACAGTGAAAATAATTGCGTATTTATCCGCAGTATATCGCAAATTTTTCATATCTCAAGTTATAAATATAATCGAAGAGCTAATACGATTTTACTGTTGGAAACATTTCATTATAATAACCTCCGGTACATAATAAAAGCATTAACATTACTAACACTCAGAGTATGATAATTTAGTCTAATAAATCTTGTGTTTCCAGCCTTCTGGTGATGAACTCCAATGGCCAGATGACACAAGTCACGAACATTCAAGAGAAAGCGACCACAAAGAATCTGCAGCAACAAGCTATAATGCAACAAGCCATACAGGTCACCATAGTTATGTTCAACATATGGGTTTTTGTAATCGAAAAATATCCCATTGGGCTCAATGGAATATTTTTACCCCCGCCCTTCTCTCATGTACAGTCATGTTAATGATAATTTTATGAGTAAATATATATATTAATTCTAATAATTTAATAAATGAAATGAATAAAGGAATGTTATTTATTTGCAAAGAAAAGGCAAACTGTTTGTTATTACCTCTCGAGTTAATATTATAGACAAATTGTACATTATACTAAAACATTACTGGTAGAACACTTTTTTCACATAACTTTATAAAATTACTCTTATTTTGCAAATTCATTTCATTTTATCTCACAATTTTGCATAAAATAACTGAAAAAGTGACATTTCGTAATGGCCGCCAGGAATGGCATTTGACGCTCCTCTCCTTAATTGGCGTTGAATCGAAACAATGTATAATTAACATGCAACTTTTACAACTGACTGTACACGGTACAACTAATTGAATAGAATAGAAATTCGTCCGATTTTAGAATCATACGATTTTACGATTTTGGAATCGGACGAATTTTTATTCTGTTACACGAAGTTCCGGAATTTCGCTATACTGAATTCCTATTCTTCCGATTCTAATTTTAGGGGAGGCAAAGTGGCGATTCTGGGATTTACTCCTTGCATCCAAATATACTCCTATCACACTTAGAAAGGCTCTAGAAAGGCATGGTTTTGGGGCATCCCATTCAGATAAAAGAATCTATTGCTAGAAATTGTTGCGAGTTAGCTCCAGGCAGAGTTAATTACATGCAGAAAAGTTTACAATTCAGTTATCCAATCATTTACACTCTACATAACGAAATGATAGAGTAATATTAAGAAAAACGTCCTGGTGACACTGTCGAGTGGGTTGAAATATAGACTTATCTGATTTTTATTACTCTGCCTTAGCGCTACCCTCACGCTACTCTCTACGGACTTTTTCAGACGATAGTTAAGTCGGGCGCTTAATATGTATGTACATGTATGGTGGTGCGCACATAACACGGTTATGTTTTATATAATAAAGTCTTGACTGCCCGAACCGAATAAATTATGAGCCGATAAAGTCTGCAGTTTACATGGGTTTTAATTAGATTAGCCTCTTGGGTACAGTTTGTTGTGAAAGAATTGTGCAAAACCTCAAAGTTTTACTTACCTAACTCGCAGCTAGGGAAAACAAATGAATGACGTCAAATGTACCCAAAAGTTTTTATTTTGACGTCTTAAAAACGTGACCCGCTCCCCGAGGGAAGAAGTGAATGACGTCAAATGAGGGGTTTAAATAAATTGATAATCAACCTTTTCCTTATTCAGTTTTAACTGGCAGTCCTAACAGTGCGGCTCGATATGGACCGTAGACGTTTGACTAAACGTGTAAAACGCGCGACTAAAATAATCTATATCGGAAATCATATGCAAACCCGTCTACAAAAGGTAGAATATATCCCATTGGGCTGTTTGACTAAACTGACAATTCTGAAATACGCTGAAATACAATTATAATTTGACCAAATAAGCTATACTTCAGGCCAAAACAATCGTCGTCAGCCTTTATAAATCCACTAAAAAAACAAAGCCATTGCCCAGAATTGTGATACGATGGATTTATAATGGATATCTGTTCCTGATGGTTGCGGAGAAATAAAACTCGCAAAGATTGTATTTTAATTTCTTTCGTAATACTCTACAGCAGCAG